GGTGGCTTACAGTAAACTAGCACATTTGGGTAACTCCAGGTGGCTAAGGTGTTGAGGAGAGTAACAGTGTCAGATACTCTTGGAAGGACTGCATAAGAGGTCATCTACATACATTAAGAGATGGTGGGACGGAGATCCACGCTAGAGAGACCCCACTGTAGGACCTGCCCAAAGTGATAGAGACTTTCCTGGAATCCATGGTTAGGACTGTTCAGATTCACTGTTGAGCAGAGAGGGTATTGGGGTCTTTCCAGATGAGTGCAAAGAGGAGTTGTGATTGTGAGTTGAGACCAGCCTGGGCTACCTGAAACCCTGTCTGAAAGTAAAACTTCTTCTTTTTTTTTTTTTTTTAAGTATGTAGTTTGAGAGTTTAAAAAAAAACAAAGAACCACACTGTCTGTTCAATTATATAGCTTCTTTTTCAGAAAACTAAATGATTTTCCCAAATTAAAGAATAGAATTTTAAAACTGAAGGATTAATGACCTAAAGCCCAGAGCCTCGGGAGAGCTGATAAACTACCAAGGGAGTCAACACATCAGTATGATCCTCTGAACATCGGCATTTACTTCCTGAAACCACAGGAAACAGATCTACAGATGGAATGGTCCATCCCCTCAAATTCCCTTTTCTGCCCCACACACCTCTCAAACTCACTGTATCTTCACAGTCTCCATTTCCAGGAGAGACTACCACCCTTCATTGTTCTAACAAAGGACTATCCACCCTGAGATCAGGCTCCTTTTTCATTTCCCCTTGCTTTGATCAACCTGGTCTAACATTTGATATGGAAACCTGGGAGGTATTTGGGGGGGTCTTAAGCCCCAGCCCTTCCCCTTGGGCAACTTTTTCTCCTCCCTCCCCCCCTCCTTTTCCCTCTCCCTCCCCCTCTTTGTCTTTCCTTCACACTGGGGTCCCATCAAGAGCCGAATCCTCCTCCAACTGTGCAAGCTAAATAGCTGCCCGTTGTGATTTTAAAATGTCCACATCCTCTGTACCACAGGTTTTTGCAGCCTCCGCCTTCATGAACATGGAAAGTTCTGTTCTGGGATTTTATTGAAAGTTTGGGTAAACTCAGTTCACAGCCTCACAAAACTCCTCCTCCCTTACCTCCTCTCCTCTCCCTGCTGGAATCTTTGGGACAGAGATCTTTTGCTATTCACCATACCTGTACAATCAACATCCACCCTTCAAGGTAAGACTGGGGTTCAGTCTGAAGGTACTCTAAACTGATACCTTTTTGAACCCTGAGATGCTTCAGCTTTTTGTTTGGGCTCAATCTTCTATGTAGCTGGAATTGGAGGTGCCCTCTCCAGTCCATGGTTTCTCTCTTTTCAGTTTCCTCCTGGTAATGTGATGATTTATTTTGCTCAAAATGAGATCCAAGGTCTCCAGTCCTAAAGATACACCCTTGGATTGCCTTAAAACAACTCAAAAGATATTAGGTCTAACTGACAGGAAATCTCCAACTTTGGTACACCTGTTGACCAAGGTCTGGACCCAATACACATTGGACAATAATAACATAAGGCCTGAATTTGGCACTTCAACTTCCAAAATTTCACTGGCTTGTACAGTTCCATCAGGCAGAATGGCAAATGTTTGAAGTATCCCACATCCAAGCCTTCTTTTACCTCCTGTGCCAACCCTTGCTTTTGTCAAAGTTGTACAGCCTATCAGATGTTTGCTTCTGTACACTGTGAAAAATGTGTTGCCCTCGTTGTTAATAAAAAGCTGATTGACTGACAGCTGGGCAGGATTTTCAGGACAGAGAATGCTGGTGTAAAAAAGGGAGGAGCCTGAGGAGTCACGAGCCAGACATGGAAGAAGTAACATGGAAGTTCATAGATGAGGTAAGTGAGCCTTGGACAGCACATAGATCAATAGAAATTGGTGAATTTAAGTTGTAAGAGCAAGCTGGAGACAAGCCTAAGCTATTGAGTGATTATTTATAATTAATAAGTCTCTGAATGGTTATTTGGGAACTGGCTGGTGGGAAAGAAAAGTCTGCTGACAGATTTTCCTACAGACCCCACTCTCCAAGACTTGCGGATGCTCCACCTGCCCCTTCTTTGATCTCTGGTTTTTATCCTGAAGACAAGCTTCCCCTTACCCTACCCACCAACCTGCTAATGATGCCCAAACTCCCCATCTTACCCAAATTTCTCATTCCCCAATGATTTCCACTCCATCACCCACCTCCTCCCCTTCCCTCACCATCTGCAGCTCACATCCATCACCAGCCCCCCAAAGGACCACCCACACCTGCACCAACATCCTCACCCTTGAATTACAGATCAGTCCCGATACCTCTCACTCCTCTCCCAACATCCCTCTTTCCCAACCCCTTGCACCCTGCCCTCCTCCAATGCCACAACCCACCCCTGTCCATATGTTCACCCTGAGGGGGGGTCCTGAAGGCCCTGCTGGGGTACACATCCTCTTTTCCTACTCTGACATGAGCCAGATAGAAGACAGATTGAGTTCTTTTTCTGGAAACTATATAAAACAGAAAGAGGGCATCTGAGACTCAGCCTGAGGCCATGCAGACCATCTCCCTGAACTAAGCCAAGCCAATCTGTGACTGGTATGTCAATCTCTTCTCACAAATTCTTCATCCTGAACCCCAAAAGATGGCACTTGTAGTGGCCTTTGTACCATAGATTGGTGCAGAGGTTTGGGGCAGGGGGATGCCAGTTGTTTACCAGGAGGTAGAAAGTGTGAAGGAAGCAGGCTCAGCGCTGGTGAAGCTGGTCTGGTGACTTGCCTCCCATAGGGTGGGAGCATTAGGAATTCTGAGTTCTCAGGAAGCTTTGCTCGCTCAGAGAACAGTTATGGAAACTTTCAGAGCGTGATCTAACACCGCCCCCCCCCCATCCTTCCTCAAATTCCCGAGGGCACCGTGGTGCCACAACAGGTGCTAGGAGAGTGTGGAGAGCTGGGCATGGCCATGTCTGCAGTGAGTGGGACCATCAAGATGGCTTAGCCAGTCAAGGTGTAAGGAGAGAGTGACACTGAATGAGGCTACTCAACCTGGGCCTCTGTGTCCTGGGGGTTGGGCCGGGAGAAGGGGAGCCGGTAGCCCTTGGAGTATGGGCCACAGATGGCAGTGTGGGGACACGTGGGACACAGGGCATGTTAGCACGCCTTCCCACCTGCCTCTGATACTAGATCGGGCTCTGCGGATTTGCCTTTTAACGTGCAATGTTTATAGGGGAGTGTTCCACTTGCCCAGGTCGACAATAGCTAAGATAATAGCTAATGGCCTCAGCCGAGCAGCTCCGCTCTAATGGGCACCTGTGGGAACAATGCTCCCAGCTTGCCCATTAGTTTAGAAACTGCCAGGCTTGGGAGAGCCTGCTTTCTGCCTAGAGGGGTACAGTGCCAAAAGAAACTGAAGGGCTTCTGTTCACAGAGCAGGAGAAAGCTTTCTCCGTTATTCTCTTGTCTCCCTTGTGACCTGCTACCTTTTTTTTGGGGGGGGGTGTTTTTTTATGTAACTTAGGATCATTCCTCTATTAGGCACTGAGACCTGAACAAGGTGAGTATAGACCCCGCGGGCTTCTGGGACCTTCCCTGCACTGCATCCAGACTCCCACTTCCAACCTGCAGCTCACAGGGGACTCAGCTGTGGCTGGAGGTTAGTGCTAGCAGCAGTTAGGGGCACAGGCAGGCATTCTGGGCCATTAATGACTGTTTCTTCCTTTCTGGCTTCAGCCTGCACCTGAGCTGTGGTCCATGTGGGGTGCCCTTCTGTCTGATTTCTTTTGACACATGGGGCAACCCCACAGGACTAACCCAATTACAGAAACAACTCGTGCTCCCTGCAGACCCAGTGAACACAAGGGCTCTCTATGGAGTGTTGGGACCAGCAGGCTGCCAGCACAGAAAGTACTCCCGGGCTCCAGCATCCTGGGGTATTTTTGTTTCATGACAAATGATATCTGTCACTCCTGGGCTGTGTCAATTAGGGTGATGTGAAGGGAGCCGGGTGGGTTGGACTCTCCACATCCTTGTAGTTAGGCTTATGATATTTCAGCCAGGAAGAAATGTACATGTGTGGGGGGAGGGGGCGGGATCCTTGAGGTGGGGTCTGGAGGCTAGCACTTTTTCTCTCTCATGGTGTGGTCTTTAGTAGAACAACTCCCCTCACCCCCCAGCCTCCATATTCTCTTTTGTAAAGTAAAGAGATCCTATTCTGTTATCCCTCAGCCATTCTTCCCATTCCTATGTGAACTTAAAAGAGATATTTCAGCCTAGACTGTTAATTTTACAGGAAATGAAGTAAGAACACAGAGTGTGTTGGGCTTATAACACGCAAGCTAAGATAGCAGCTAAAGAGTCACTCTTTGGGAAACAGGAGTCCATGGATGGCATCTAACAACAGGAAGGGTGTTGTAATTTAAGAAAAGCAGTGGCCAGAGGGTTTTTTTTTTTAAAAAAAGGGGAGGGGGAGACTGGTCTCAGGGGACTGGAGCAGCAGGAGAGAGGAAAGGGGGGGAAGAGAGAAAAAGGGGGGACACACAGATAGAGGGAGAGAAAGAAAGATGGGAGGTGGGCAGGGCCCTTTTAAAAGGAAACAGTGAATGTGCACAGGTGGTGCTCTTAGTGGCTGCAGCTGAGGGCGTATCCTGTCAGAACTCCAAGGACAGGCCAGTACAGACGCCTGAATACTAACAAAGGGGCTTTCAGAGAAGCTTAGTAGTGAGGAGTATCTGTTGCTTTTGCAGAGAACTTAGGTTCTGTTCCCAGCACCTACACCAGGCAGCTGGTAACTGCCTGTAACTACAGTTTTAGGACATCTAATGCCCTCTTGTGGCCTCCATGGGCACCTGCACACATGTGGTACACACACAGAGGCACAGACATCTACACATTGATAGACGTTTTCTAAAAGGCAGAAAAGCATGTTCAGAGCTGAACCTTAAAAAAAGATGATCTGGAATAGTGTGCCTGCAAAGGCCTGAGAGTGAAAAGGAAGCAGGCTAAGCTGCCCTGCCTTGCTCTGAGCAGGCAGCCAGGCTTTCTTCCTGAGACTCTCATTTACCATGGCCGCAGTTGGGAAAGTTGTTCCTTCGGGGTCCCATGTGGCACTGTCAGACTTTTATGGTTTTGTTTTTTGTTTGTTTGTGTTGTTTTCTTTTTCTTCTTTCTTTCTTTCTTTCTTTCTTTCTTTCTTTTTTTTTCTTTTTGCTGCTCATGCAGGAGGGATTGCTGTTTCATGCAATGATAACCAGTGTTTCTCTGGCCAGCAAGTAGGCGTTTTTTTGTAGTTTTGTTGGGTATTTCTTTCCTCGCCTGTGAGTTTCCTGTTCATTCTTGCTGTTGTTTCTTTGTTGTTGTTTATTGATACAGGGTCTCAATATGTAGCTCAAGCTGGCCTTGAATTTTCTGGAGTCTCTCTCTCTTTCTCTCTCTCTCTCTTTCTCTCCCCCTCTCCCTCTCTCCCTCTCTCTCCCCCCTCCCCCACTTCCCCCCCCTCTCTCTCTCTGTCTCTCAAGTGCTGTGAGTCATTCTGTTCAGCTTCTGTTCAAAAGTTTTTTTAACCTGTTTTTCCTTAATGGATTTTGTTTGTTTTATTTTGTTTTTGTTTTTCAGTACTGGGCCTCATGCATGCTAGGCAAATGTTCAACTCTCTACCCTCACGTGCGTGTGTGTGTGTGTGTGTGTGTGTGTGTGTGTGTGTGTGTGTGTATGTGTGTGTGAAGAACTGCCAGAAGGGTCATATTCAGGAGCACTGTTCACTTTCTTTGAGACAAGGTCTATCTTTGTCCTGGAGCTTATTGACTAGGTAGACTGTCCTAAGGGACCCTACAGTCTCTGCCTCCCCAGCACTCCCTTTGGCTGGCATTTTTACATGAGTTCTGGGAACTGAACTCAGGCCTTCATGCTTGTATGAAATCACTTTAGTGACCAATATTTCTCCAGTCCCCCTCATATTTATGTTTAAAAGTTCTTTTTATCCCCATAGGCTTTAGATACCCACCTCTTGTCAGTCTGTAAAATACAGACATATTTTCCCAGTTTTTTTTTGTCTTTTAACTTTTGGTAATCTTAGATAGCTGGAACATAGCATGTCAACATTTTACATATAGTTTGTTTTGGTGTCTATGATGGTTTGAATGAAAATGCCCCCATAGGCTCAAAGGGAGTGGCAATATTAGTAAGTGTGGCCTTTTTGGAGGACATGTGTCA